AATCACAGGCAGAAATCTGAGGACAGGAGAAAACTGAGGATAGGATAGCAATTCTTCTGGTTCCCTTGACACCTGCCTATAGTATGTTGTCTGTGTCCTTGTGTGAAGACTACAGCTCCTATCAGCCATGCCTCTCCTTCCAGCCCCTTTCCAAGCTCCAGGTTTAGCTTTTTACTTCCTGCCTACACTTCTAGGAGTGGTAGCACTTGGGGACTGCTCTGTCCCTTGTTGGCTTCCAGAACACTGGTCACATATTTGTGAACTGTTTTTGTAATGCTTATAACACACAGAGAATGGCCATTCAAAATTCATGAAGAAATACACATCAATAAGGACAATGGGAAAGAAATGAAAAAGGAACCCCATGGTCCTGGCTGGGTGGCTTAATTGGTTAGAGTGTCATCCTGTACACCAAAAGTGTCGTGGTGTTTGATTCCCGGTCAGGGCACATACCTAGTTTGAGGCTTTGCTCCCTGGTTCGAGCATGTACAGGAGGCAACTGATCGATGTTTCTCTCTCTTTCCCCCCCTCCCCTCTCTCTCTAAAATCAATAGAAACATGTTCTCTGGTGAGGATTTAAAAAAACAAACAAGGAAATTCATAGAAGAGGAAACTAGAATAGCAAAAAGAACAAAAACAACACACTTTCCTTTCCTTGTGGAATGGCTGTTTTATTATGTAGAAGTTATAAATCAATTTTCAGTTCCTGCACAACCTCTGAGACTGATCACACCTTGCCCCGCCTCCCAGGCCACCGTGGGTTGAGGAATCACTGGGAGACAGATGTCCGAGGCGGTCAGGACAAAGCACTCTTTCCGAAGCTGTCTGGGAATGACAGCAATAGGGCCGATCCACTCACTGGAGGATTTACAGAGGTGGAAGCTATGGGTGGGCACATTTTGTGTGGGTCAGTAGTAAATCGAGGAAGTTGATCCCTATAGTCTCTCATTGCTCCAAGTGTGGGAAAGAGAAAATAGTGCACCTGCTGTGGGAAAGGCAGAAGGCAAGGGCTGCTGGGGTCCTGCGAGTTTGAGGTGAAAGGCAAGTGGTTCCCTCACTCTGGGGATATTCTACACCAAATTGCATAATTTGGTCCTAACTGACCTTCCTAAAATTACATAATTTACTCCCTAAAATTGTAGACTTCTGCCAGATTGGACAACTCATAATTTCCGTTGAAATAAGTTGTCTCCATCTACTAGTTCATCACTATACTAAAGTCCCAAAATGCTTATATTGGCAACCATAATTATTTAATGAATTGTTTCCAGTTTTATTGAGATGTAACTGACTTACAGCCCTGTATAAGTTTAAGATATACAGAATAATGATGATTCAATTTACATATATTATGAAATTATTATCACAAGAAGTTTATAGTTAACACCCATCATCTTATATAGATACAAAAAGAGAAAGAAAAAGAAGAAAAACCGTTTTTCCCTAATGACGATACCTCTTAACTTTTATATATACCATACAGCAGTGTTAACTACAAGTCATCATGTATATTATGTCCTTAGTACTTATTTATCTTATAAACAGAAATTTGTGCTTTTTGACCACCTTCATTCAATTCCCCATCCTCTTCTCCTGCCCACCACCTCTGGTAACCACAGATCTGATCTCCCTGTCTAGGGGTTCGGTGTGTTTGTTTTTGTAGATCCACATATGAGTGAGATCATACAGTGTTTGTCTTTCTCTGTCTAACTTATTTAGCATTAATGCCCTCAAGGTCCATCCATGTTGTTCCCAAATGGCAGGATTTCCTCCCTTTTATGGCGGAAAAACTTTCTATTATATATTGTTTATATATATATATATCACAATTTATGTATCCATTTATCTGTCAATGGACACTTAGGTTGTTTCACGCCTTGGCTACTATGAATAACACTGCTGTGAACATGGGCTATAGATATCTCTTCCACATAGTGTTTTTGTTTCTTTCAGATGTATTTCCAGAAGGGGAATTGCTGGATGATATGGTAGCTCTATTTTTAATTTTTTGAGGATACTCCATATTGTTTTCCATAGTGGCTGTACCAGTTTACTTTCCCACAAATGATGCACAAAGGTTCCCTTGTCTCCACATCCTCTTCAGCATTTGTTATTTATTTCTTTTTGGTAATAGTCATTTTGACAAGTGTGAGATGGTATCTCATTGTGGTTTTGATATGTGTTTTCCTGAGCATTAGTGATGCTGCCTATCTTAAACCAAATAATTGTTACAGTGTTGGGAAAGAGATAACAGAGTGAAACAATTGTTTTTATATTTCTTTTTGTAATTGTTAGGGATAAATCATTAGGATATGCAAGTAACAAAAGTATGTATTTTTTAACAAAGTCATGCAGACCCTTCTTTTAGTATTTGAATAGTCCATATTTCTTGATTTGGAGGCTAGGACTAAGGATTTACAAGTATGAGAAAATTAATTAATTACCTGTATTTTTTTTTTTTATTATTGGAGCTCCAAATTCAGCTCAGTGCAACACACTGAGTACCTATTGGGTTCAAGGTACTGTACTTACGAGTGGGCAGAGGAAAGAGTTGTATAAAATACAGGAAGCCTTGAACCGTGGAAAAGTTGTACACATAATGCTTGTACGCAAAATAGCATTATTCCAAGTAATTTCCATCTCCAGTAGCATGTACCTTTTCTGCAGGCTTGGATATATGATCTCCAAATAGGTGTGTTTTCCCATCACAACTGACCTTCAGGTTTGCTCAAAGCAACACGGCCTTTTTTGCTGCCTCACCTTTGTTTAATGAAAGCCATTTCCTTCCTAATGCCAGTGCTGGGTTAATGGACGAAGATGGGAGGGAAATCTAACGTCTTTCTCCATTCGACACCAGATTGTCTTTCTGCCTTGTGGCTTTAATCACTCAATCCTACTCACATCTGCCATAAGAACAATTACAAGTTTTTTACTGACTTCTTACCCGGGAGGATGTGTTGGAGGATAACAACACCTCCTGCAGACAGGAAGGGCAAATTCTTCATCTTCTTCCAGCGTCATAGGTAATGATGTTCCTCTGCAAACCCCCAAAGAGTACTGCTTTGGGCTTCCACACCCACGTTCCCACAGGTCCTGGCTCTGTTCTGATTTATACATTTTCTTCTGCTCTCTTCTGAGGTAAGTTTTAATTATGTAGACAGATTGTAAAAGTCTCTTTCTTCTTGTAAACAACTATGTTTTCCTCAGTAGTGGGTTTTGTTTAACTGACTGCCTCCTACCTGAATCTTCTGTGTACCCAGGAACTAGCTGTTCATTGCTGAACTGGAGCATCAAAAGGAGAGAGAGCTGGGTTCTCTGCGTAGTTTTCTTTGAGGGGTGTGATCTTGGAGCACCTCAAATTGCAAATCTCCCCCAGGAACTGATTCAGGTTGCATATGCTTGGAAAGCCCACACTATTTTAGTTTTGAATCACTCTAAGAACAAAGTATCTCCTATCAAACCATATTTTTTCTTCTACTTATTTGCAAACTTTCTCTATTACCCAAATCAAGAAATGCTTGAAATCCTCAAAAGTACTCATGAAAATGTTAGTCACTGCTCCTCCCTCAGGGAACTCAGAAGAGTAGACTTGGGGAAGCCCCTCGGGTGACGGAGACAGCTGCTGCTCTTACTCTGCCCTTCTGTGTAATAGTAAAATATAAAGACAATATTAATAATGTGACCTTTTTATTGTTGTTGTTGTTCTGCGTAAACACTTCTATTTGCTGGATTTATTTTTTCTCCTCAAGAGATTGCTCGACTACAGTCCCTTCTACTTCTGATCTCATAGGTTACTTCTGAAGGCAGTGTTTGTGTGAAAACTGGTGTGCCCAAGAAGAACTGAATATTATCTTTTCACCTGCCTAGCAATTTCCCACAGCAGTTTTCACTTTTACCTGAAACCTCACTAGCACCTCTTTAAAAGGCTACGCCAGTATTTTCCCAGAAGTTATTGAGGCATCTATGGAGGAGGGAAAAAAGAGAAACTTTTTAGACACAGCTGCATGTGTTGTGTCTTCACATTGAGGAAACGTTTATGTGTTTGGTCCAAAGTGGGGGGGGAGGGGTGTGGTCTGTGGCCACTTAGCAGAGCCAAGGCCTTGGCTGGCGTTAGACAGAAAGCCGTGACCTTGGCCTCGTTAACGAGGCTAACTAGTGAGCTCAGATTTGCTTGGCTGCGCACGGGGAGGAGGGCTTCTTAACTCAGGTTTCAGTGAGGGTTCATAAACAAACTGATATCTTATGCAAGGTTTTGTGTGTGTTTATATTTTTCTAAGGAGACGTTTACATTTTCATTAGACTCTCAAAAGTAGGTAGGACTTAAAAACAAAACAAAACCAGGTTAAGATTACACTGAATAAAATAGTTCCAAAACAAAGTCATTTCAGTACTTTTTAAAAATAAAGTAAGCTTTTATTCCTGAGGTGGATTCTGTACTCTCATGTTATTATGAGAGAGGTCCTTGAACTCTGACCTTTTAATATTCCACCTTCTATGCCATTAAGAGATATTAAATGTACCCTGTAAGCTGGAGAAAGCTATTACTTTTACATGAGTGGGAAGTGGTAGATTAAACCCTCCCTTTTGAACTTTATTTATTTGTAACACATGAAGTGGTTTTCTCCTTTATTCCAAGAACATGTCTTTCAAAATGCCTTCTTTGGCAATTCATTCTGTCAGTCGTCTTTCATCCCACAGTTGTTGCAAGGTAACCCAAACCCTGCTTTACTCTTCACAGCGTAAGAGGGCTTAAATCTGGCTGTTCTTCTTCTCATTAAACGTTAGGGTGTTACTTATTAACTGTAGGACAATACATTCCTTAGATAAGATAAAGGTGCACAATAGAAAATTGCCATTCTAGAGACATCTACTAGTTTCTTCTGTCTTCAGAGTGTTAACAGCTCATGTAAGTCTTCAGTATTGAAACATGGCATATTTATAGTATATTTGGGAAGAAATGTCTTCACCAAGATAAAAGGTGGATTTTTCAAAAATTCCAGGTTATTTCATGGGACGAGCACTTAAGAGAACGAGAAAGGATTGAAGCACTATGGAAAACAGACCATGTGGTTTTCCGAAATGAGGAGAGATGCAGCCATCTGAAATGGTCATGAATCCCAAACAAGTCTTCTTCTCGGTGCTGATCTTTGGAGTGGCAGGACTAGTCCTCTTCATGTATTTGCAAGTCTGGATTGAAGAACAACACACAAGTAAGACGTTGACTTATTTTTCCCATTTTAATTACAATGGTCATTTTCTATTAAATAAACTGTTATGTTTATAGACACACAGAAAGTCCTAATATTTCTAAAAACAACAAAAATTAGACACAAACTGAATTCCCTAGTTACTAAAACAAAGAATGATTATCTGGTGGGCATTTCCTTGGTGGCTTGGGACAACACTTGGAGTTTTTGTTATCTTGGGGGGGAACGACAGTGGTCCATGAGCCCCTCAAGAGCTGCTCATAGAGAATTTGTCTACTCGAATATGTAGCTTTAATTCTACCTACGGTGTGTCCACCAAGCTTGGGCACAAGTCAACAAGGAGCTAAATATATCACAAACTCACTGTCTCTTCCTTCCTTCCTAATTTTTGTGTTCATACTCAAAATTGGTGTTGAAATTCTTTAATATCTTTACTTTAAAGCAAAGGTTAGCAAATCTTTTCTGTAAATGAATAGTTAGAAAATATTTTAAGCTTTATAAGCCATACTGTGTCTATCACAACTACTTAACTCTGCCAATGTATCATGAAAGCAGCTCTAGATTATATGTAAACAAATGGACCAGGTTGTTGTTGTTCCGATAAAACTTTATTTACAAAAACAGGTGTACTATTGATCCAAAAGCAGTAGTTTGCTGATCTCCACTATACTTATCTTATATTTTCATCATTTAGTTTGTAATTACTGTACATCGGAGGCATTCAATTACTGTTAAATAGATTATGTTTATAATGACAATAGGAAATTGAGTATGTTCATTATGATTAATGGAAATGCTTTAGAATATCATAGATATACATCTAGGTGTTGTGAAATTCAGTTGTTTTCCATTAGTAAAAATAGATGAAGACTTATGATTATTAAGGGAAACAAAGTAAAAACAGAACAATTTTTTGTTTCCTATTATTGCCATTTTAATAAATTATTCTAGATTAAAGGCCTTTAAGAATTTACACTTAAACATAATTCAATATTGAATCACATATATGATCATTTTAAAAATTGTTTCTATTTTGAAATACCTTTCCTTGGTTAATCCTCATAGGATTTATTTAATTTATATAGTAACCCTTGGGGGAAAAATTTGCATATAATTATTTTCTAGAGAATATGTAACATATTGCCAAAAGTTATTCTTAATCCCCATTAGAATTTACATAAACTATAATATTTTTTTGTTTTCTATATCACTACAATAATTTGTCATAATAACTTATAATATTTAATGAAACCATCTGTGATAAAATATATAAAATAATTTCTTCTGCAATACAACTCTTAGTATAGATCTTGTAGGAAAGCAAACCTTCAGTAGGTGTTTGTTGAATGAGTAAACGAATGAATGAATAGCCCTAGCCGGTTTGGCTCAGCAATTAGAACTCAGCCCTCAGACCAAAGGGTCTCAGGTTTGATTCTGGTCAAGGGCATATACTTCAGTTGTGGCTCAATCCCCAGCCCTGGTTGGGGTCATGCAGGAGGCAGCCAGTTGATGTGTCTCCTTCACATCAATGTTTCTCTCTCTATCCCTCTCACTTTATCTGAAAAATCAATGAAAAAGTGTCCTTGGGTGAGGAATAAAAACAAAAAAAAAAGAATGAATGGATAGATTAAAAATGTACTGCAGAATACAGACTGGAATGTAGCAGAGCAAAAAAAACAAAACAAAACAAAACAAAACAAAGAGATCTCATTATTGGGAGGTTCGCTGTCATAGTCTCATGACAAATTCCACCAGAAAAGTATCACAACAAGGCTCCAGTTTGCAAAATAAAATATATTCATATATACAAACAAATGGAGTAATGTTATGATTTGGTCTTGTCAACAAGAAAACTATATATCCAAAGAAACAGTCAAGTCGTACTTTACATATAATGCAGTTTACAAAATGTGTTTGTTCACCAGCACGGGTAGCTACCATTTATTGAACGCTTTATTAGTGCTGAATGTTTACATATATTTTCTCTAATACTAACGATGTTTTACTAAGTGTGATATTCTAAATTCATACATGAGGAAACTGAGGTCCAGTCAGAAAAAGAACTTAGCTGAAGCCTCACGTGTAGGCCTTTGCAGAGGGAAATCTGCACCTGGTTTGTGCTTCTTCAAAGCCCATGCCTCTGCCCTGCTTGGTGCTTCTGCAAGGGGAAAAGATGCATGTTACTGCCCCCTAGGCTGCAAATGAAGCAGCCGAGTCTGGCTGGTATGGCCCAGTGGTTGAGCACCGACCCATGCACCAAGAGGTCGCTGGCTCGATACCTAGTCAGGACACATGCTCAGGTTGTGTGGCCAATTGATGTTCTCTCTCATCAATGTTTCTCTCTCTCTCTCTCTCCCTCTCACTTTCTCTCTCTCTAAAATCAATAAGGTAAAAAAAAAATAAAAACAAAAACAAGTAAGCAGCTGAACTGGGACACTTGAAGTGACTTGCCTAATGATACAAAGCTAAGAGTTTTCAAACTATGACCCATGCCCAGGTTACCTACTTCTCATGAACCCTAAAAGGGCCTCACCAAGAAAGTGGATGAAATAAACATATTATAAATGCCAAAGTGTCCATACAGATTATTTAAAATCACTGAATTAGTGACCCCAAGTTATTTACAAGTTCATAGATGTGTGACCCACTCTGCAAGTTAGATACTTAATTGAGTTCATTATTTTTCCAAGCTGGGAAATTATTTTCCCTAGTTTAGATGGGCTGGTAAAACATTTACCATTTATCCTCTTCCTTTTTGTCTGTGATCTGCCAGATGTACTTTCTCTGAGTCTTGATGTATCGTAAGTGAATTACCTACTATTTCACAACCTACACATGGCAGTGAGTATCAGCTTTACAGCAGGGTTCCTTTAGATAATTATTTTGCTGAAGACAAGTTTTATTTTTCAAGGAGACTTCCAGCTGGAGTTTTCCCTTAACCAGGCTAGACCCTCGGTGGTAGTTCTGTTGTTTTCTAGGTAGATAAATACATATGTATTTTATACATATTTCAAATAACATCAGAAGCATTATACATTTTTAAAGGCAGTCTCTTTTTAAACCAGAAAATATTTGATTATTGTCTTTGATGTTCGGTTAAAACTTAGAAAATCTGTCTTTTGAATACTGTGGAACTGGCACTGATAGAATGGCAGATGATTGGTTTGGGTTCCTGAGATCTTCTATAAGTAGAGCAGATTTAAAAATCTGAAATGGTTTTGATCTCTTATGAGAACTTGTAAGTTCTTTTTATACCTTTTATTTGAGACTTTTAAAGTCTAGTAAGATATGGATTATTATCTATACTTTCCTACTCTCCCTGGGTTCTTCTGTTAAAATAAAATGCTTCAGAATTACCAAAAAACAAAACAAAAACCTCTTAAAAATGCTCTGATATGCTAGTAAAATATTATGAATACACAAGATTTTTTGGAGGAAAAATGTATTACAGAGAAATTAAAGTCTGTCCAGTCACACATAACAATATCCACTTTTCAGTATCATCATCAATTAATTTATGCATTTTTATGGTAATTTTCAGTACGATGTATTATTATGAATTTTATTTTGAACATTTTCTCTTAATTGTTAAGAGCATAACATTCAGTTAAGAGTATACATTCAGAGGAATCTTGAAAATCTCAACTCTACTTATTAGCTACACTACCCTAGGCCAATTGGCATCTCTAAGCCTCAATTTTCTCCTCTGTAAAATGGGGACAATAATGTTTTCCACATAGGGCTGCAGTAAGGATTAAAGGACACAATGCCTATAAAGCACTTAGCATGGTGTCTGGCAAACAGTAGTGCACAATGCATGTGAACAGTTATTACTATCCTGAAAGTGATGCAAAGTATCATTTGCTTTTTCTGAGTTATCTCAATTAAGACTCAGCCACAATTCAGGAAAACAATCCCAAGCTTGTGTCTTAACTGATGAAGTAAAGAGAAAAAAGACTCAGTCTGGGCTCTGGTTAAATTAGTTGGGAGAATATAACTGGCACAGAGCCCTTGTGTTTCACAATGTAGAAGTTGGAAGGAGAATGACAGGATTGAGTGCAGAGAGCTGAACCAGTATCCTGGAGCATCTCATGTCTATACAAGCTGCCCAAGGTCAGAGTATTCATTCATTCAACAGTGTTTTTTAAAAACCTAAAGATCAGAGGTGCCAAAACTGTGGTGAATACAGAGATATAATAGAGGGCCAGATATAATCCCTGTTCTCAAGGAGACTATAGTCTCATGGATTGTAAGAGAAAAGGGTCTTGAGTCCAGGCCAAGGTGTTGGTACAAAAAGATAGTCCATTGTGACAGAAAAGAGACAGGGACTCCATTATGCGGCAAAATAATGAGTTAGAACCAGGAGAAAGAGCCTAATCAGTTTTAGTGATGAAAATGCTAACCAGATAAAAGCTTTAGAAGGAGTGCTGTAGGGGTGGGTGCAGGGTTAATGGTACAGAGGACCAGCTCAGAGCAGAACAGATATATCTATGGGAAAGAGGCAATAATGAGGAGGGCAATTCAGGATAAATCACAAGACTGGGTCTTTTTTCCCCCAGCTACTGTTAAATAGAACAAATAGCACAGGGTGTGGTACATACCTTTTTTTTGTATTGTGCAATAAGACAGGGTTAAGACTCCCTCATAATAGAGTCAGAATCTCAGCTTTACAAAAGGCTGTAAAGATTATCTTATATACCACCTGTTCTTTGAAAATATCAACATCACTCCCCTGTCTAAAACTTTTCAATGATATCTTATTTCTTATAACAAAAACTCTCTGGATCCCACAGACCTGGGTCTGGTGTAGTCTGCCTGCCTCCATAGCGTTGCCCTCCATTCTCTTGAGATGCTTCCGGCTTGGTCTCTCCTGCCTCACTAAGCCCTTTGCTGACTCAGCTCTCTCCTGGTTTCAGAGCTGGGGTGCTTTTTCCCAGCTCTCACCTGTCAGGGCTTAGCTCCAGTGGCACCTACTTTAATCACCCCACAGCCAATCAGTCACC